TATATATATATATATATATATATATATATAAAATATATAAAATATATTTTAATATATTTACATATATAAAATATATTTAAAAATAGATAAAATATATTGAAGAAAGGGGATATTAGTTCCAATTCAATGAAATGGATCTACTAAAGATTCCAATACTACAGATGCTGGCCTTTGGCCATGTTGGTAAATAACCTAAGGAACAAACCTAATGTATGTTCTTCGGACAGTTCATTCAAACACCAGAGTTTTCAACCCTGCTGAGGAAAAGATGCATCACGTAAGCTCCTGCAATTAGAAGCATTATTTGCTTTATAAGTCATTTGCCACAAGTGATCTTATAAAGAGTTTTACCTTTTCATGGGTTACGTTTCCAGAGCTCGTGTTGTGGGTCATCTCTCTATAATCAGTTGCATACTGGGAACAAGAGAAAGAAAAACCCGCTGTTAGTTCACAGGTGAAGACCAATCAGAGGAAGGGAGACGACTGTGGGGCCTCTTGTTATTCCTCACTATTCACTCCAAGTGTTCTCAGAATTCCTCACTTGGTTGGCCTGACAAGGGCCTATGAGAACTGTACAAAAGTTACTTAAGGCCAAGGCAGCATACACCCCAAGAGGCCTCTGCATTATTCAGGGACCCACAGCGTTAGGGACAATGGTTTGGAGGAGGAGGTCTGCACAATTTCATCCTGATAGTTTGATATTTCAAACAGCTGACACTTTATGTTACTTGGAGAACATTAATTTCATAATGCTGAAGTTTACTTTTCAATGTCTTATTTTATTTTTTTTAATTGATTTTTTTTAAATGTTTACTTATTTATTTTTTTATAGAGAGCACAATGGAGAGGTAGAGAGAGAGGGAGACAGAGCATCCGAAGCAGGCTCTGCACTGACAACAGTGAGCCTGATGCGGGGCTCAAACTCACAAACCGCAGAATCATGACCCGAGCCAAAGTCGGAAGCTCAACTGACTGAGTCACCCAGGCGCCCCTATTTTCATTCATACATTTATGCTCCACTTTGTTCCAGAACTTGTTTGAGCTTGACTGCTTTTTCAACATCTACTTCTAATTTGCCTTGGCCTCTACTCTCCAAAGCAAAGGATGTGAGGCAAGATGGCATTTTCTGGCTAAGTCATCTGGGAGACTCACTTATAAGTACAATGACTCTCCAAACTCTGGTCCTACAGTTGACTTCACATACTTCTGCCTGATGCACACAGCTGTCTCCCTGTGGCGGTATGCACAATTGAATGGAATCCATTATAAAACACCTTTCCTGACCTCTTCTAAGGACACCTGGCTCTGAACTGTCCCGAGGAGCCCTTTAGGGTATACTGTTTTGTGCCTACTGTTGATGAGGTCTGGTTTCTTTCAGCTTTGATTTATCAAGCTTTCAGACAGACAGAGGTGTTCAGCTGTCCTGTGATTAAGGGTGACAGGGGAAACAAAGCCCACCCTACACCTTCTGCAACAAGCACTGAAAACTCCATAAACCTTTTACTTTTTTCCTATCTCACAGTATAAATACAAGCCACAGCTGTGTTTACATGCAGTTCTTAAAAAGGGGGGGGGGCACCTGGGTGGCTCAGTCGGTTAAGCAACTGACTCCTGATTTTGGCTCAGGTTATGATCTCATGATTCGTGAGATCAAGCCCCTCATTGGGCTGTGCATTGACAGTGTGGAGCCTGCTTGGGATTCTCTCCCTCTCTCTCTGTCCCTCCCCAATTCACGTGCAAGTTCTCTCTCCCTCTCAAAAATAAACAAATACACCTTTAAAATAAATAAAATAAAAATAAGAGAGAGGGAGAGAGGGCTGTAAGTAGAAACAGAAACGTTTGCTTGGAAAAGGTAATGAGATTAGTCTATCTAATCTAGACCTTTATATTCCTTCTCCTCACAAAGGACTATAGGGACGTTACTTGCAGTCTTGCAAACATTAGAGAAAAACAGAAACAATCTGTCTATCAATACGGGACTGACAGAAAGAAATTATGATATGCTCATACAGTGGAATACGGCCATTAACATTATGTAGAAGGATATTTACTGACATGAAAAATGTTTATCATATGCTGCCTTAAAGCAGAGATTAAAAACAATATGTGTAGTATGTGTACATACTATTAAAATGTGTAGTATAATTATTTTTATTTTCAAAATGTGTGTGTGTGTGTGTGTGTGTGCACATGCAGAGAAAAAACATATCTGAAGGATGCATACCAAAATGTTAATGGATATCTCTAGGTAGTGGTTATGGTGATTTTTAGTTTCTTCCATATTTTTCATATTTTGCACTTTTTTTTTTTGCATGAGCATATATGACCTTTATAATCAGAAAAAAAGATAAAAGTATATATATCTTTCCCAGGTGATATGAAAAGATGATGGAACCAGGGGGATATTTCAGGAAACCTTTCTGTTTTTTGTGGTTTGGTTTGTTTTTACTCCAGGGTCCCCTCTATAAAAACGTAAGCCAGTGTACCAAGTTTTGTTAACAATACTACCCGGCCTGTCCCACCTTACCTAACTCTACAGCCGAATTTATACACCACCCCAATCAAAGTTTCCCGTTCTTAACAAAGCATCAAGCCTTACCGTGCGGAAAGTGGCAACCACAAGATTTGAGGGAAACAGGTTTCTGTTGGAAAAGAAAGCACTTTGTCAGTGTTCTTAAGATTCAGCATTCAAAGCGTCTGCTCTAAGATGCCCATTCCTGACAGCTCAACACACAATGTTCCCTCTCTCTCCACCTCCAGAAGTTACTGTGGCCCCTGCTTGACCCACGCACCCTACTATGCCTTGGCTGCTGGGCCACAATAGATGCTCTGAGAGCACAGAGTCTTATGCTCATCTCCCTCGTGGTACTCCAGGAAAACCATAGCACTCTCTTTTCCCCAAGAAGTTAAGCCCTATTGCGGAGGTTTTCAGCAAGAGTGGTACAGCCCACTGGTGAAATCCAAGGGAGTGTTTTCATTGTCAAAATAATTGGGGGGCATTCCTGCAGTTGGGGGAGTGTGTATAGCGGAAGGTGCCAGGTCCCAGCTATTCATTCTACTGAGGCCCTCACGTGGCCCTCACGCTGTCCAAATGTCCTATATACCTGTAGATGAAAACCTTATTTATAATTACCTCAGCCTAAATCAACTCCAAAACAAGGTTGGTTTTTTGCACAATTTGAACTTACACTGAATTTTCCAGAAATGCAACTACTGTGTAAAATGTGGGATAATTTTTTGCTTTATTCAGAATCTTGCAAAAAATTGTTCATCTTTCTGGAAAATCACATCACGAATGGCAAATTGTAGGATCTGAGTCCTTAATTACCCACACAAGTATCAAGTACCAGCCTGCATTTACAGCTGTCTCATTCACAGTGAATGTAAATTGAGAGGCAAGCACCTAACCGCTTTGTTTCAGGATACTTATGTATTAAAACATATTATTTTTTATTATACATTACTCTCCTTTTATCTTTTTATATAACTGTTGAGTCATGTTGATGCTTTGAGATTATGTGTGTAGGTAAATTCTATTTATGGATTTCATTTCAGGATGAAGAGGTTTATAAAATAGTTGTCATAAAAGGAGGGCAATAGAACTGATCAAATTAAGCTAGATTTTGAAACCAAAATCTATTCATGCAAACAGTTTTTACTGAGAGCCTCCTTTGGATCAGGCTCTATGCAAGATGCTGGTCTTAATATATAACAAAATTCCAGTGACATTTCCCTGTCCATTGGTTGTACCACTTCCTTTAAGAATAAGTCTAGAAGAGGGGTGCCTGGGTGGCTCAGTTGGTTGACTGTCCGACTTTGGCTCAGGTCATGATCTCACAGTTTGTGGATTCAAGCCCTGCATCAGGCTCTGTTCTGACAGCTCAGAGCCTGGAGCCTGCTTCAGATTCTGTGTCTCCCCCTCTCTCTTCCCCTCCCATGCTCATGCTCTGTTTCTCTATGTCTCTCAATAATAAATAACCGTTAAAAAAAAAAAAGAGTAAGTCTAAAAGAGTGAACCACTCCAAATCATCCTTTACAATTTATGTCAAACTTACCCAGTAATTCTGACTTCTGTGGTTGAATTGTTTCCCTAGCACTGGAATCTCTATGCAACTATTTGCAATACATTTGGTTTCAGAGGTAGGCAGCTCTGACTGCAACCCGGCTTGGCAAGCGGTCTAAGATAGGCTCCTGGAAGTCACATCTTGTGCAATGCCCTTCCCTTCAGTGTGGGCTAGAAGGACCTCTTTCTAGCCAGTAGAATACAGCAAAGGTGATGGGGTGTCATTTTCAAGATTCAGTTACATAAAATCGTGGCTTCCTTCTTGCTAGAAGACTTTCCTTATTGCAATTCATTCTTTATTAAAACTCATTGAACTGTACACCTAAAATGGGTGCATTTTATTGTACCTAAGTCACATCTCAAAATTGCTTAAAAAAATAAAGATACAGTGCTAACTGCAAAGAAGATTTTACAACCATAAAAATGCATACTTTCAATGGGATGACTGAACTTTCTATAGCTCAGTTCTCAGATGTGAATCCCTAGGAAGGCACCACCTGGGGGCAGTGAGATGGAGCTCATGCATCCACAAAATCATTCTCCTCTCCCTTGGTCCCTCTGGTCACCACAGAACATGCACAGTCCCTCTTGCCCACACCAAGGGCAAGGAGCTGAGATTGTGGCAGTAAAGCAAAACATTTCTCTGAGCTCTTGACAGATTGTGCCTTTGGTGTTGTTGGGGGGGGGGGCAGGTTGGTATATAGATACAGGTGCCATAATTTAAAAGTGTCAAGTCCATACTAAATTCAGAGAGCCAAGTCAGACCAAATCAGGAGAGAGTGAACGGACAAGCCTTTCCAGTGCTATAGGAGTCTTTGGGTACACTACTTAAACAGAAAAACCGGTCTGGGCTGAGGCTGAACTGCCAGAAGGAGAACTTCTGTCAGCGGTAGCATATGCTCCCGCAGCTCACACAGTGAAACACTTCAAAGATGTTTCTTCTTTATACATTGGGTACCGTTTGCTCTTCTGATCCTATTTGTCAAGGGTGGTCTGCATTTCCCTGTCCTATATGAAAAGAATGGAAAACAATTTACTTTTGCTTAGGTATATTTTTTGTTCCAGAAATATTTCCTTTTATTTAGGTTCAAAAATTCTTTACCAAATTTATGAAAATTTCAAAGACTCTTCAGAACAGGATATGGCACGGTATGTGCGCCTGCTATATATTTATTATCCTTAGTGTTTATTGTTAGAGTCCGTTAACAGGGACATGCCCCTTCAGATCTTGCTACCCCCTACAAGGCTGGGAGCAGAGGAAGGGCTGGGGGTCCTGGGCTTGCACTATGGTGACAGTAGGGGGCAGGGGGAGTAATCTACCCTCTTCCTAAGGCCCATATCCAGTTTTAGATTCCAGCTAGTAAGGTTACTGCTGGGACCCCCGGGGTGGGGGACTTTTGGGGAAATGAGGCTAAGAACAGCACTAATTCTCTGTAGCAAGTAGCCTGAGGGCTGTCCTTGAGGGGCTGGGACACTAGAGAATATTAGCAAGACACTCCAATATTCACTCATTTAATACTCATAACAAGTGTAAGTAGTAGATATTATTATTGGCCTCATTTTACAGATAAATAAACTGAAGCACAGAGAGGCTAGCTGACTTGTCCACACAGCTAGTAAGTGGCAAAGCTGGATTCAAACCCAAGTAGTTGACTTCAGTGTCTGTTTTTATTTGTTTGTTTATAAGGTTCATTCTTGAGAGAGTGAGAGAGAGAGAGAGAGAGAGAGAGAGAGAGAAAATGGGAAACAGAGCACGAGCAGGGGAGGGGCAGATAGAAAGAGAGAGGCAGGCACAGAATCCCAAACAGGCTCCAGGCTCCGAGCTGGCAGCACAGAGCCTGATACGGGGCTCAAATTCACCAATCGCAAGATCATGACCTGAGCCAAAGTTAGACATTTAACTGACTGAGCCACCCAGGCGCCCCCTTCAGTGTCTGCTTTTAATCACCACCCATGTGGCCTCTCCAGGGACTCTTTTCAGTCTCTCAACTATTCAGGTAGCCTCCTGGGTGGCAGAAGGAAAGATGTCAGGTTAAAACCTTTTAGTGTTTGTTTTTTTAAAACAACAAAGTGTCACCTTTTCCCTTTAGTGACTACTTAGGCTGAGAACCCTCGGTTAATTTGGATCCTTGTTAGATTTGCTAAGAGTCTTCATTTTGCCTATAGAAGAGAGACATAGGGCATGGGTCAAACAACCTGCTGTGGCCCAACAGTTAAAAGAAATTATTCACTATTCACTGCCTTGACTGTGATCTCGGGGCTGATAATAGAGCTCAGTCTGATAGGTTTCTTTGCAGCTATTAAAGAAATGTGTTTTTTGCAGAGAGGCATCCTATTCACACCAGTCCTTGAAAGGAAAAGGAAGTCCCTTATGTCTCCCTCTGCAAAGGGAAAGGCTTGTAGCACTATCCACTGTTGAGAAAATGAGCACGAGAAAAAAAAAAAGCCTAGAAAACTGAGCAACAGGCAAAATCTCATTTGTGTTTACCATGCACATGGCTGCACCCTGCTACGCTTTTGCAAAAGACAGTGGCCCAGGTCCATTTTTCTGGTTGCCCGTGCAGACGGAACCCTGGGCCCAAGAGCTGTTCCTACCCGCTACCTTTGCAGATAAGCCTCTGGCTTTCCATTTGGAACTACAAATTTTAGCACCCAAAGGAATGTTAGGAGCCAGTTGTTTCAGTCCTTCCCACTTATAGCTGAAGAAAATTGAGGTCAACTTTGGAGATCACAAACATATAATGCAGGGAGGAACAAAACTGGAATGTCAGGGAGGATATGTGAAGATTTCTGCTCCCTTTTAGAATGGAAGGCTCTTCTGTGTTTAGTTTTCACTTTTCCACATTTTCCAAATTTCCCGTAGTGCTGATTCTATCAGTCCAAAATATAGTAACTGTTCACTTCTTTTTCTCCAAGCTCGTGTGTTTCCCAACACACTTAAAGACTACATTAGCTTCAAGTCCTCCTTGGCTGTCCCCGTCTGTTTACTCTCGCTTCTTTCAGACTACGAAAAGAGGGCCATCCCCATAGAGTCGCGTGAAACAAACAAACAAAAATCCCAATCGCTGTTAATACTGCTCCATTTATAACAAGAGAAAGCATATATTGGGCGAGCCCTGTTCTAAGAGCTTTACAGACATAACTCATTTAACCCTCAGAACAATCTTCTGAAGTAGTACTTTCATGATGGCTATGAAAGATGAGGAAGCTATGACACAGAGGTTAGGGACATGCTCTAGCACTCGTGATCAGGAAGTATTGTTAGGGACCAAGAAGTTCCATAATTTTTTTAAATTTATTTTATTATTTTTTTATATAATTTATTGTCAAATTGGTTTCCATACAACACCCCCAGTGCTCATCCCAACAGGTGCCCTCCTCAATGCCCATCACCCACTTTCCCCTCTCCCCCAGCCCTCATCAACCCTCAGTTTGTTCTCAGTATTTAAGTCTCTTATGGTTTGCCAAGAAGTTCCATAACGACTGAGTTCCTGATAACCTGTTTCTGTCTCTTTGGTGCCAAAACCATTTCATTTGGGATGGAAAGTCACAGCTCAATCACTTGGGTCACAT